TGCACCACTCTCTGAACACACCAGAGAGCCTAGTGAAGATCCTCCGAAACAGCATGTTATAAAAATTCCGTATTGGCCATGATCTGATTTAATTAATTTTTTATTACAATTGATTAATATCGGGAGGCAATAAGCAAGCAGCGCTGGGTGCGCTGGGGAGTCTCTGCTCCACCCAAGACGCACACCGAGAGTTCTGGGGTACAGTCTCTTATACTCCTCGGTCTTCGGTTTCAGCCAATCCTGTCGTCTCCTTCACCCGAACATCGACGTGGTTCCTTTTCATTGTTCTCCTCCTGTTGCTGGGATCTTATCTTTGGGTGATGAAACTTCTTAAAATGCCATTGAATTCCTTGGCAATACATTAACAGGGGATATCTGTCACAAGCTTAACCACCATCTTAGCCCCCTCAATTCCATTTCTTATATAGTTACATATTGAATACACAAGTTTCACCTCATCCCGTAACAGAATGTATCCCTGGATTACCTAACCCCCTTAAGGTATTCAAGCAGTTAAACAAAACACCCTCTGTAGTTAGCAAAGCATCTGAGACATTCAAGTAGTTAAACAAAGTACCCCTTAAAGTAACAAAGACTTTGATTAGGATTCCTTTGTTCCTTCTTTTCTTTCATCACTGTATTTACAAGAACTCCCATCTTAATCTGATCATTCGTATACATTCTACACATGATTTTCGATTCCTCCCAGAGTGCAATGATGACAAGGACTCTTAAATTTCTGACACGAATCATTCCTATATACCTCACAAGCAGACCTAGTATTTCTTGTGTGTGTGCTGGGCACCGAAACAGCAGACCTAGTATTTCTTGTGTGTGTGCTGGGCACCACGTGCCAGCAGGGCAGGAGCACTGCACAAGTGCAGTGCTCCACGCTGACCTAAGAACCCTAACTATTCTATGATTCTAAGAAGCAGTAGAGGACCACAGAGCAACCCTGTGCCACATGCAGCAGTTACACCATCTCCTGATTAGATCTGCAGTTGAGAGTACAGCGGCCAATCTGCATGAGTCCTTGGGAGAAGATGAGCACCTCGTAAATCCATTCAATTTATCTGCCTCCTTGCAGCCCTTCCAGTCACCCTGGGGGAAAAAAAAGGTCCACCACCTGCGTCCTCCGGCTCATGCTCATTGCTTGTTGCTGACTGGAGCAGCGTGAACACGAGGATTGGGTCTGGGGCCAGTGGGAGGTGCGATTGGAAGGAACTAAGAGGAAAGAAGGGGGAGTTTCCACAAGACACTAATAAGAAATCAGCAATAGAGAATAAGGAGCTGCCTGACAAAACAGCGCTTATTGCACCATTTTGAACAGCTAACTCTGGATCTGGTGTTCCAGTGGCTGTGTTTCCGGGGAGCGGGATGAAGTCGCGGACGGTGCCCCCCGCCTGGGCAGCCGTAGTGGTACTGGCCAGCTCGCTGCCGGTGGTTGGGCAGTTCGAAGAGCGTGTTGCGTGCAGACTTTAGTGCGGTTTGAGCGAAGTTTCCGGCTTTTCTTCCAGGGTCTGCGTGGTGGTGCTGGGGCAACCCCGAGCCCTGGAGCCGGGTCCTGTGGCGGGCGGCGGCAGTACTGGCTCTGCTAGCGAGCGCCGCTTCCTGTCATTGCCCTGTGAGATGTGAGGGTTAGGAGCAAAGCCGGGCAGCGCTGCACCTCGGCAGCTCCGTCCTTACAACCTGTTGAGTTCTGGTTCAAGCTTTCGTTGTGACAGCATAGAAATAAATGCTTAGCAGTGTACACGGGCAGGTACGTAGAAATGTGAAATGTTTACCATTAAAGTATCGGTATGTATGTGTGTGTGTGTTTCATTTGAGGAGAAATGATTGTTTGTTGTTAAAGGGTTTTTTTATTCATTTTATGCATGTAAGTGTGTTTTTATGCTGGTTTTGAGGTTATAATTAGTCTTTGAGTCTTCTGCACTGTAGTATAATCGCTTAAGGTAAATACCTGTAAGCAACGTATGTGTTTTGTTACCGTTTTCAAAACGGCTGTTAAAAAAGGAATTACTGACAGTCTGTAGTGAAGTTCTGGTTATTGTAATGTCTTTCTTTTTCTCAATGTACTCTTTATTATCACCAAAACTTTCTTCAATGCATCCACTTAAAAAAAAACCCTAATTTAATAGGATACATTAGAAGTTTTGAACTTCCGTTTCTTGTCCCCATGGATATTGTTTGTAATCATAACACTGCATAAGGTTGCTTTACAATTTCAGAGGCAGTTACAATGTCAGTGGTTCTCTAATTGTATATACTTTATTAAATGAGCAAATTTTTAATTTAAAACATTTGTAATATTTTCTTACATGTATTATTCAGGTGCTGTTTCTTATGACCTAAACCAACAAAATCCTATTCCCCCCCATGCATTTTTGTTGAGCCATGTTAGTGTAGATGTTACAAATACAGTTGTTTAAAGCCACATATAAAACTAGGTTTTTTCTTGTTGTTGTGGGTTTAGTTTCTTTTTCCCTAGGTGAAAGATACATTGGTATGGAGTGGCACAACATTTTCTACAGTCCTTTGAATGTGTTATGTCTAGGCTGAAAATCAGATTTTTTTTCTTAAAATTTAAGTTTGTCTTCAATTATTAATTAAATGTGGCTGTTTGTTTGTGTCTCTTTATTGCTGTTTACTTGAAAGACAGGTTATGCTGTTGTGTTAGTAGGAGCAGGTGTGCTTCATTTAATCAGATGCATCGTTAGATGAGGTGGTCAAAGCTGGATTCTGTTTCTGTAGCAGCTTAGGACTGGTTTTTATTTGCAGCCCAGCTGCTTGCTCTGTTAATTTAGAACAGCTGGATATGCTCCTGGATGAAATTATGATTAGTTGAAAAGGTTCTTAAAGAGTCTTTGACGATTTTAGATTCCTGATTTAACTTCTGTATTCAGAAGCTATGCAGTGATCTGTGACTTTGAATTTGCTTACTAATTACATTTAGAGTCAATAAATTCTTTGAGAAACTAATGCGACAAAACTACATTTTAATCACAGTTGCTATCTATATCAGAGGAAACTTGTTTCTTTTAGGTGAAGTCAGAAGTATGTTCATTGTCACTTTCTTGCTGCTATGTAGTAGCTGCCTGTATCCACTGGAGGTGGAATCTTTCCTGTTCATGATGCTTTTAGAGTGAGCTACTGTTTCTTAAGGAGGTTTTTTTGCATTCAGAATTACAGAACAAGTGGCTTTTTTGGTCTTGTAATGTGTCTTTCTAAGTGGGCTTTCTAGGGTTTAAGTAGGAGTTACACTGATCACAGAGTGCTGTAGTGTTAAGAGTGGAGTTTTACTGCAAGCCTAATTCTGTTTTCAAGTTGGTGGCAGAATTCCTGTCAAATTTGGTTGCTGAGGATCAAGGTTTATATGTTTGTGTTATCTTCTATTGTAGGCAGCAGTGTTTTGACACCTTAGAATTGTTTATGAGGGTATAAATGATTGTACTTGTTGAAGCTACCTGGGATATTTAAAAACTGTATTTAACAGTTCTTCAGCTCTCTAAATTCATAAAATAATAGAGTTGACTCTATTAGAATTGTCTAATATTATATTTGAGTTTCTTAATTCATTGGACAAAAACTTATTTTGAATATAGATTATTTCTTTTCTCCTAGGAAATTTATTTTGTTTTATCTAGTAACATCGATTCTGAAAAATGGACAGCAACGTTCGTTACGTTTATGAAGATGAAATCCAGTCACTGAAAGAGGAAATTAAACTGTTGGCTGAAAAGTATGAAGATAGCCAACAGGAACCCACCTTTTTTTCTGATGAGGAGATATTAATGTCAATGCAAGCTTTTTTTTTCACGTGTTGGATTAATAATGTTTCTTTATCAGAATTGTTTAGGATAAGTTTTTGCTTTTCTTAGGACTTTGTTATTTTTATAGTGCTGATCTTATTTATATCATGGCTTACATATGGTAAAAGACCACAAATAATAAATATTTGATCTCTGTTTACAGTCTTCTGTTGGTAGTTTGTGGGGGCTTAGGGTTTTGTTTGTTTGTTTTCTGAAAGGATGTTTAGTGGTCAGATCATGACGTCAGGTACAGTGCTGTGCAGGCCTTGCAAAGTTGTTGTCTGCAAAGGCCATGTTTTCCATTATGCACTGTGAAACAGCTCAGTTCCCATTTAATTTAAAAAAAAAAAAAGGTGGGAAGATGGGGATTGGAATTGGGGAGATGGACAGGTGTGACTAGACATATCCTAAGAAAATGCCATGTTTGGGCTTCTTATTTCCATTATTTAAGTGATACTCTACAGTAAATAAATGTACACTCCATACCTAAAATAAGTAATTTAGACAATAAAGACATCACAGCTCATTTTTGTTGTACATTCCTTAAAATAGATATTTGCATTTCAAGACTTCTAATAAAGGCTGTGTCTACATGATAGGGCACATAAGTATTTATGAAAGTTAAAATAGTTTACTGTTGCTGGTAATGTGATCCAGCTGAAATGTGGCTTATTGAAAACTGATCTTGGTCAGAAAACAACCAGATCATGTTAAAAGTGCTTTTTTTTTTTTTTTTTAAATGGTATTGCTGTACTGATGTGACAAAACATTTTCTTATGTCTTGGTCTTTTCCCCTTTTGATTATTTTTTTTTTTTTTTTTTTTTTTTTTTTTCTCCCCAGTTCTAGAAAATCATTCCAAAGAGAACTTGGGGGAGAATCTGAGGGACATGAATCTGCAGCAGACCTGAAAACTGAACTTGAAAGCCCAGAAACACGTCTTTCATTTTTAATGAAACTTAATGGTATTCAGTTCACAGGTCATTCCAAGAAAACATTGGAAAGAAGCAAGCATTTTTGTGCCCTTTTCTGGTGCTGTGTTGAGCATACTGTTTCTATTACATTTGAAAATGCATGTTTTAATTCTGCTTTCAATGTTAGCAGGAAGACAATTATTTTGAAATACAGTAGAATTTTCTCTATTAACAAGTAGCTTTTGAGTATAGTACTTCCCATAGTGGGAAAGTGAAAGACTGATGTAAAGTTAAATTTGGTTTCTTTTAACATGTTTAACTTGATTTTTTAATATGATGGATGATATCAGTTGGTACTTTAAATATGACTAATGGAAGAGATGCAATAGTTGTTGTATTGGAATTCTGATCAAGTATTAACTTCATTTTACAACAGCTAGAAACAAAATGTTGAGGAAGCACAGATTATCAGGGAATTGCTGCTCGTCTTTTCAATTGGAATCCCAGCTTTTTGATATGCAGGTAAGGATCAATGAACACCTAAACCCCCAATAACCACCAAGCAACCGAACAGAACTTCAAATGGGCTAGTGTCAATACTTCCTTTTCTATCTGAAAATGGTATTTTGTCATTTTGATTGCCTGAGTCTCCTTAACCTAAGCCTCGGTGGGTTGCTTTCACCCTGTAGCAGCTGGACCCAACTTTTGAATTTGATGTGCATTCAAGCAAAATAATTCTGAAGGTCAGGTTCAACATTCAGTTGTGAATTTCTTATCACAGAATCCTTTAGGTTGGAAAAGACCTTTAGGATCATGAAGCCCAACCATAAACCTAACACTGCCATGTCCCAATCACCCTTCCTTCCCAAAATATGCACCCTGCCAGATGCTGTTGCAGTCTAACATTGAAGTAAATCCCTGAACAGCACTGGATTTCCACTGACTATGCCAAATACCTGCTGGGGCTTTGCCCTGACCCGATACATCTTTCATCCCACAGCTGTCTCTGATCTCTCCCCATCACATTCTGTAGTCAGGTATCTTGTTCTAGAGACTGGAAAATTTCAAATCTTACCTCTCTTGAGGAAACTGAGGAAAAACACTACAAACTTGAACATTTTTTTCTTTGCTTCAGTTATATTTCTAATTTGCTTGGTTAGTGTCAGTAGCCATTACATCACAGGACTGCACAGAAGTTGCACTAAATACAGATTTTTTTTTGCAGGGAAGTTCTTTCATAATAATCTACTCTTAGCACAGAATTCAAAATGATAAACAGTGGGAAACAGCTGCTGTCCCAATTTGTTCTAATATAACCCAATTTTTAATAATATTTTTTACATCAGGAAACTTCCTTCTCCTGAAAACTTGGTTTTCAGCTCAGCTTTAAAGGTATTTTTTAAATTGAATGTAATTGAACTTAATAGTATTAAAAACTGCCTTCCTTTCTAATCTTAAGAAAAGCCATATTATGACTTTAGGAAATTAATATTTAAATAGTCACGTGTGGATTACATAAGATGAATAAGGTTATTTTGTAACCTCTGAAGTCCATGAATGACTTGAAACTTGTGATATTATTTTACCATGTTCTTGTATAAAACTATTTAGGTTTCAGCATGGAAATAGCTCACATCAGTTATGCTACTTGGTTAGATTTGTATTTATATCTCACCTGTATGCTCCTGTGGAATGATGACATCTTTTACTGTCTATCTAGATCAGATGATGTAAATTAACTGGATGTAAATTCAGAGCTACATTGGTGCTGCTTAAATCTATTGTACCACTTGATGGCAGCAGTTGTCTAGGTAATTCCTGAGAGTTGTAGTATTTCAGCGCTGATGACGTATGCTGGAGTAAGGCATATAGAATAATACTAAGTGTATACATTTAGAAAAAAAACACTTCAGATCAGTAGGTCCTCTGTGGGTGGAGGAGCCTGCCTCCATAGGTCTCAGTAAAGTTGTGACTTCAGGCCAGACTAAGGCCTGAAAATTTACCTTTTTAATGCCTATCCTTGTATATAAAAATGGAGAAACCTGTTTTCTAAGATATGGCATTAATGGTTGTATTCAAAACAACCTGTGCTGAGATCAGTGTCTGCAAGCTAGTGTAAGGTTGCAGGTAGTTTCAGCCGTCTTAAGAAATAAAAGACAACAGCTTGCTTTTTTTTTTTTTTTTTAAAGCTTAATAGATAACAAACACATTAGTATGCAGCAGAATAGAAAGGATAATTCTCTAATTTGATCTTAAATTGTTAAATGTCATTCACATTAAAAGCTGTATTCCAGGATACAGTTGTACAAAGAATGGTATGCAGATCAATGTTCACTCTGACTAGCTTTAAATGCTTGAGATTGTGCCTGTATTTCTGTAGTACTGGTCTCTGACTGCCTGACATAATAAAGAACCAGCTGAGATGTATGGTTTTGGCACAGATTAATGTGTAGTTTATATTCCCAAGAAGACTAGTGTTTTGCCAGCTTTGAGTGCAAACTAAGAAGCTCCTGTCTGCTCACCGTTGTGCATAGGTGAATGTTTACAAAGATCAAAATGCGAATGAGGAAAATAGGCTAATGCAAAAGCATTGCTTTATTTATTTTCCTCTCATACTGTCACACAGTATCACAGTATACTAGAGATTGGAAGGGACCTCAAAAGATCATCTAGTCCAATCCCCCTGTCGGAGCAGGAACACCTAGATAAGGTTACACAGGAATGTGTCCAGGCGAGTCCTTAGGTTTTAGGAGAGGACATATAAAACTTGTTTGAAAATCTGCCAAAACATGTATAAACCTCTTGAGAAAGCGTTCAAGTAAGAGTTGCTTCCTGCTCAAGAGCTTTCCTTTTGAATCTTATAACTTGACCCGTTTATTGGAAAGCCAGTTTCTTCAGAAGGTAGTGTGTTAGCCTGTGGGCTACTAGCAACTTCTCTGTAACTCCATGCATGTGTTGAACTTTTACTCTAAATTTAAAATGATTTTTTCTGTTGTTACTTACACAATCCACTAAACTTTGTAGTGTTTTGTTTTGCTTTTTCCTTTTTTTAGTGATGGCAGCGTTAGCAGCATTCCTGTCCAACCAGTACTATGGATTGCTATATATGTTTTCATATCCTGCTTGTCTGCTTAGTTTCCATTGCCATTCCCATTTGCTTGTGGTGACTGGGTATAAGAAAAATCAAGTACAATGTCCCCACTAGAAAGTGAAGCATTTGCTATAGTCTTCAAGCCACGATTGTAAGCTTTTTCATTCACTGTTATCTAACCTGTTACTCTGGTGTCTTCAAGAATGTGTAGAAAAAATATAATTAAGTTTTTTGTGGCTTCATTTCTACTATATGAATGTCTTTTTTAAAATTTTATTTTATTTTGGTAGGCTGTTAAATATTTAGAAACATTTTATTTTTACTGTCATGCACATATCCCCAAGTAACAGTTATTACTGTAAAAATTGATGGAATTTGGGGCACAACTATGGGCTTTAAAATAAAAAATAAAAGGAAAGCTAACAGTATTTTTTAATTTTTATTTTTTTAAACTTAGGGTAGCATTATTATGGTTTTCAGATGAAACCTTATATTTGAATTTTCAGGTATATGTGACAGGGATTTTGCTGGAAAATTAGAGTCTTAAAGAAGTGGAAGTGATAAGAAAGGAAGTAGATGAATCTCTTTTATACCAGATATAAAGGAAGACTTCTTTTATATTTTCTAAATGCTGACAAGTTCAGCTATTATTCCAAAACCTTGTTGCATGAATAATATTGATGCTGTTGAAATGACAGAAATTTTCCGCACATATAAGCTGTAGTTTAAAAAATGCCATTTTAAGGATTGTATTACTTGGTAGCATTTGGATATATTTTTATTATTTTATATACAAATAGATAACTTTATTTCTCCATGCTAGAGAAATTACTAACATACTGTGGTGTTCCTTATCTAGAACAAAGGAAATGTGTCTGCTGCTATTACTGATCTCAGTATTATAATGGAGCCTAGGGGAAATTCAGATTTGGACAAATTTGTGTCAAGGTAAGGTGGAGGTTTGGTTTTGTTTTTTTTTTTTTTTGTGTGGGGTGTTTGTTTTTTTTTAAGTAAAGTTATTGTATGGGATATTTGATACTAAAGGCAATACTGAGTTGTCATGTAAATTGCTGTCAGCCAATTTCTTTGTTTAGTAATGTTCTGTTAGCACAACCTAAACTCTTAGTCCTGGTCTGTATCCTTCTGTAGAGGAAATGAAATGCATATGATTTTTAAAGCTGGAAACGACCATTACAATGCATTTTAAATAGAAATAATTTTAGGATTATCACGTGTTTTAGCTGTTTGAAATTGTTTGGTTCAGAGAAAGGTAGAAGTATATAATCTCAGCTATCATATTTTAATTTATAAAATCAACACGTTAATTGCGTCTCAGATGTGTATGTGAGTTGTAGATGTGCAATGTGGGTAACTAAGGGCTAAAAGTGTATGTCCAGAACAACTTTCCAGTACTTGCCTGTTTCTAATTCTCTGCTTACTATTCAGTTTCTTTTCTTTGCATCAGGATTTGTTTTACTGATATTTTAAAAGCAGTACAATATAATTTAAAAACTTGGAGTAGTGTATTTGTGCAATGGCTTATGCAAATGTGCATTCTAAAACTCAAGCATATGACCGAATGCTGCTTCTTGATTGTTTTCTGGAGGTTGTTACACAGGAGGAATAATGATCAAGTTACTTGTCTCCAGTATTCTACTTTGAAATCTGCTAGCAGATCTCTCTGAGAACAAATGTTTTATATCTAATTATTATTGGGTTGATTTAATCCTATTCTCTAAGTGATTTCTGTTGTTTTATATTATTTTTAGACTTTGGGAGGGAGAAGGAAGGCAAATGAATGGGTGAAAGAAAGGTCTGCTCAGTTACCTCAGGTAACTGAACAGACTGATTAGTCTGCACTGAAAGCTGAGGCTTTGGAATTTCCATACAGATACACTAAAGCTGGTGGCATAACTGAGAATAGTAGTTGACTGCTTTCAAGAAGTAGGGTTTAGAAAAGGAAATTACCCTGTTTTGTTGTTTTGGGTTTTTTTTTTCATGAGCTTTTTCTGACAGCAGAAGTGTCTTGGAACTTAATAGAAAGTAATGTGTTGAAGTAGTGGCAGACCTTATTTTATCCTGGCTTGAGCACTGCTCCCTTGTCCCTGTCTCTTCACTACCCTGGTCCTTTTTCACATTATGCTGGTATTAATAAATAAACAGAAGTTTTCATGAGCGATGTAAGATGAATTAAGGCTTTGCTGTCAATGAAGCAATCAGTTCTTTCTTTCTCCTTAGTTTTGTTTGCACGTACTATCTGCTGTCTCATTGGGTTGACCCTGACTACGTTTCTAAATATCCGACAGCCTTGCCCACCTTGCACTTCCCCAGCCCCTTCAAATTCATTTTTTTTTTTGTTTGTCTTGTCCTGCAAACAGTGTTTGTGGCTGATCTAAGGCAGTAGGTATATAACCAGAGTGGGATTGATGTTCACTATGTCTGAAAGCAGCCCACTGTCAGATTGACTAAATCTGATTGTGTGATCTTCCTTTATAGCTTGTTTTCCCAATACCCTTGTTAAACTAGTTATATTTTTTTTTTAAGTCCTAATCTCCATTTTCCATGTCCAGTTTCAGGCTTTTCCCAACTTGCTCTTTATTCTTCAGTGCATCAGCTGCTCTTAGAATCTTGATTCCTACTTCTTCCTTCCCTTTCCCTCCATTCTTGTTGCATTGTTTATTCTCTTCAGCCTTCCTACCAGTCTCTCATTCCTTTCTTTTGCCTCCTTGGCCTAATCTTGCAAATCCATTGTCTAGCTCTGTTCTGTTTCCTCTGCTGGCCTGGATTTTTTTCTCCTTGGTTTTCTAATTTTTTTTTTAAAATACGTTTTTCATAATGCATGACAGAAAAGGGGTCTTTAAGAGCACCAGAGTTAAAAACTTGGCATTCAGTTGTAATTTCCAAGCCCATCATGCTTTGGAAGAAAACAGAGGAATGCTAGAATACTTAAGCAAAATCTTTTTAAAAGAAGCAAAATTCAGCAAGCTATTTTCAACCAGGTACTGCTGCAATATATAATACTTATTTTTAAAAGAGACCATTATTTCTTAAATATGTTTTAACAATAAAATATGTATGCAAATGGAATCACATTATTTAGTCTTCTATTTTGGATTTTACTTGTGTCCCCTTTGAACCAGTTCTCACTTATGTTACACTTTATTACTGTTAAGGACCGCAATATCTATGAAAAAATATTTTTTTTCTTTTGTTTTTCACTTGATACCTCGTTAATTGTAGAGTTAGTTCACTGCTGCATGGATTACCTAGTCAAATAGGAGTTTTCAGATAATTTCTTATATCCTTCTTTTTACTAACTAGTTAAAATGTAGAAGTCAGAGTAAAGGATTTAGGACAGGTCTGCATTTAATATATATTAAACACTGCATGGGCAAGGCATCTTGGAAATGAGGGGAAACATGAATTCTTCCCACAGCTGTAAGAGTCATTCTTTGGTTTTATATGTTAGTGCAAGAAGTCTTGCATACTGCAGTGAGTTTAAAATAGATTTTTCTCTCTTTAAATAGCTAAAGGATCATATTAAAGGAGCCTTAAACACTTCTACAACAGTTAAGTTTCTTACATAGTTTTGTGTTTTTGATACTGTTTTGTAAAAGTGAAATAGTGTTTGGATAAAGGCCATGTGATTTTAACCTGATACAGGGTTACTCTCTGCTGAGTATACTTTTTGCTGGTTTTGGATTACTTCTTCGTTGTATGGATGTCAGCTTTGGAGATGGGTGTTTTTGGCTCCCAGTGGATTTATTTTTTTTTTTTCTTTATCCGGTGACATTTTGTAATGCTAAATTCTTTCTAAAACAAAAAAGAGGCTTAAATTTTTAACATGCACTCTATTAGTACCTTGCTTATTTATACCAAGTTCTCTTAGCATTTTAGTGTTTGTTGTGGTTGGGTTCAGCATTAGGAATTAGGCTAACTTAGTCTAATTAGAAATTATTGTTTATGGGCACTTTAAGTGCTGTGAGTCATTTAACGGAAGTGATGCTCTTATGCAGCCTTTCCCTTGCAGATACAGAAAAGCATGTCTAATGCATATGTCTGTTCATGCCAGCACGGGTTTTCCTTTTTTCTAAACACTGAATCCAGTGTTCTATCTTGGATTTAGCCAACACTGTATCTGTACATGAGAGATGTATATGCTCAGATATAATTGGAAGTCTAACTTTTACATCTGGAAGGGGTTCTTTGAACTTAGCCAAAATCGTCTTTCTGCTTGGTGATCTAACCTTGAAAATTTTCATCTGCTATATTGCCTAAAGATGAATCTGAAGGGAAAGAAGAAATAAAACCAAACTAAAGGTATAATGCTAAAACAAGGTCATAAGGTTTGTGATAGTCTTTTAAATTGCATAAAAATGGATACTCGTGCCAAGTTTCAAAAAAAGAATTTTAAGTATGTAGTTTTGTAACAATTGTTACCCTCTTCTAGGTATGTAGATTTTAAAAGTATATTTCAGTATGTATAGAACCACGTTTGCTAAACAGTGACATGCGGGCTGTCATTACTAAGTCTTGATTTTTTTTATTATAGTATGTGTAGATTTCTATATGTATAGTTATAAGTTATGGTTAAAAAAAAAAAAGCTTTACGGAACATAAAGCTACTCAGCTGTTGCAAATCAGTATGTGTCTGCATCCTTCCAGGGGTTCAATTTTTGCCTGTGCTGCCAGCAGTTTTTTCATCTTGGCCTGATTTTGTTGGCAGCTGTGACTACTGTGGTAACTTCCTCTAATGATGCTGTTCTTTCCAGGCTAAGATGAAACTTGTTTGGCTTTTCATTTACATTTTCAATATCTGAATGAACTGGATATGTTTTTTCCTATTTATGTTTGTGCAACTTGTTAAGCATTGCCATTCTTGTATATTAAATACTGCTGGATCCAAGGCACAGTTCTGCCTTGAGTGGCTGAAGTGACTTGGTAATTCACTGTTGCAACCATTCTGTTAATGGCCTCAAGCTTCCCCTCTCAGCTGTTCTGAAGATCCAAAAAGAATAGTTAATGTTGAACAGAAATGATGTTATAAGTCAAATGTAGAATTTAGATCTTCTGTAACTTTCTGAAATATTCTTTAATATTTCAGAAATATTCTTCAGTCAGGTTTTGTAAGCTTGTGAAATCCTGTGTTAGTAACTGAAATGAATCTTTGTATTTTCAAACTGGTGCTTGCCAGGTATGTTTTGACAAAGGCTAATAGTCTGTTTCCTTTGATTGTGGCTTTATATCAACAATGCCATGAAGCTCATCACCCTTATGATTAAAGAATCATGTTGCTTCGTGTATTGACAATTAGCTTTTGTGGCATTTTTGTTCTTTCCATTCTTGCCATGTTTCTTTCACAAAAACTGCACACCCTTTTCCAGCAGTTTTCCTCACTCCCCTGACAACATTGAGTGGATCATTGGCTATTTAGCAGTTTATGTCATCATAAGTTGTCACCTTTCCTTTCTCTGTCCTGATTCTTCTATTACTAGAAAATTGAAGACTAATTTTTTTTTTTTTTTGTGTATTTCTTAAGAAGAAACCCCTCCAAGACAAACTCTTCTTTTCCCCCTCGTCACAAAGCAGCCTCCTCCTAGCTATTACTCTTTCCTCTTTTGATTAGAGCTCAAAATCTGTAAATATGGTCCTTATAGTTGCTGTCACACATGATCTAATGAACAGACCTTCTTGCTTACTGGTTTCAAGGTTCATTTTGAAAAGCTGAATGTCATGTGAGAGGAGGCATATAACATGTCATGTACAGACTAGTTGAATAAGACAAAGATCTCAGGAATATTCAGAGCTTATTGATGCAATTTGGTAAATCTTCCCAGTTGTAGGTTCAAGTTTTACTATGCAGCATCTTGAAAGTTATTTGGTAAATAAGAGTATGACATGAACAAGCATAAAGTTAAAATAAGATTTTAAAGGTGGCTATTTTGTCACTTTATCACGTTTTGCATTAAAGACTAACTTGATTACTGCTTACCTTTCTGAGGAGCTGAAAATATTGGTTTATAAATGAATTCTTCAATATTTTCAGTATCTACACTACAGTGTTCTTTCCTGTTGTGCTAAGTTTTTGGGGGCGGGGAGGACAGAGGAGTCTATCTCTGGCTTCAAATTTGAACAATACTGATCACAATTTCTGGAAGAAGTGCAAATTTTAAGCTGTAGAATGGTATGTGGGAGTAATACTGCTTGGGTTAAAGAGTGTATTTTTCTTTTGTAGCAGTGAAAAATGTGGAAGTCTTTTAACATTTTTCAGAAGTCTTTCATCTTATGCTGAATGGTATGAACATTGCAGTTGCACCTTCCTACATTTCAAGGTAGTGGCTGTCAAGCTTTTGTGTATTGGTGTACTGCATTTAGTTCTTTAAGTGGCTCATTGAAATAGCAATGGAGGTGAAATTATTGCACTTTAGCAGAGTATGGGTGATAGCGGAATAGACTTCACAACTTGGTTAAAGTTGTAAAGTAGGTACGCTTTATTCAGCTGAAGGCGCACGGGGGATTGGTCCTCCAAAAGGCATGCACGCCTCAGTGCCGTTTTACATTTATCCTGTAAAGTCATACATATGCATTAGGTCGCACGGTACGCCTATACATATTCATATTCTATCCCCGCTTCGTATTCTAATGAGCTAAAAGGCTCTCCACACATTCGCAGTGCCTCCTGCTGGTCTTGGGCAGGGGTCTTCAGATGAAGTAAGTAGTGTTCCTCTTGTGGGTAGGGGTCTTCAAGATGAAGTAAACGAGTCTTCCTCAGGCTTGAACTTTTTACCTCTGGTCCTCACGCATGCTCTTTAGGAGCTGGATGGGTGTGGTCTATGTCCAACTGGTTTAATGAGCTATTCTCCTCATTAGGAGGTTCTGTCCTGGTACTGCCTGATAAGGCATCTGCTAAGCTTGTCAAGCAAGCTATAACTTAAGCAGTACCCCCTTGCACAACCCCCCTCTGTACATTTTGTCTAACCCCCCGTACAACCCCCCTGTACACAATAGGCCACATCAGTTTTCAATTCCCCCCTTTCCTATAAAATAAGTAAATTCTTTTACTTAAGAGGTACCCAGGTCTCTTCAATGGATCTGCGAAACATATTTGATACACACTGGATTAAGCAAAGAATTGTCATTAAAACTAAAAGAACTACAGCCAGAATCCAAATCCCTTGTTTAACTCCTTAGTCCACCCTGTAATCCCAAATCCATTCAACCAATCATCCAACCCTCCAACAACTTCCAGTTTCTTCATGTTTTCCTGTAACTCTTGTAATTTGGCATAGGTGGATTTGGAATGGTCTGTGGTCTGTTAAATTCATACAACACACACCTTCAAAATCTTCACATCTGTGACCATGGGCTAGTAAGAGAAAGTGTCGTCTACTTGCCCACTGGCCTGAGGCCTGTATGGAACATGTAGTTGCCAAATAATTTCTAATTTTTGCTAATTTCTTGTAACTATTTTGTACTAAAGGGTGAGCCTCATTCAGAAGAAATTGCCTCTGGTACTCCAGAACAAGGTATTACACTATTTAACAGTGTTCCAATTACTTGTCGTGCGTTATTTATTCTACAAGGGAATGCTTCTGGCCACCCTGAAAAAGTATTCGTTAACACCAACAGATATTGGTCTCGATAATTCAGGAAAAATTATTTGTCAGTGCTGTCCCAGATAACTTCCTCCCCAGTTGTACCAATTTGATTTCTACTTTCAATTTTAGGCTTATTCTTGAGGCAGAGCTGACACTGTCACTAACTGAACTGTGTTATATAAATCCCTTCCTTCAATTTGTTCATCTAAGTATTTATACAAAGAGTTGCTACCTCAATGAGTTTTATAATTTGCCCATAAGGTATCTAATCCTAATCTTTGTTTTCCTCTCCTTTGAGATCTCCAATCAATTTTCTATCCTCCTCTGAACATCTAGGTTTAGATTTCTCAGTTGTTAGTTTGCCATCAGGGATTAAGGGAATGAGTTTAGATTGTTCAGCTGCTCATTTGCCTTCAAAATTGGCCAAATTATTTCCAATTTCCTGATCAGATTCACTTTGTTGATGCCCTCAACAATACATAATAGCTACTTCCTCAGGTAGCTGAAGAGCTTTCAGTAGTCATAGAATTTCTGTAGAATGTTTAATCTGTTTCTCCCGTGTGTTCAAAAGGTCCTCATTCTTTCCAGATGGCACACTGTGGATGGACCACACCAAATGCATATTTAGAATCAGTCCAAATATTTATCCTTTTGTCCTTAGCTAATTCCAGGGCACGTTCCACAAGTTTCTTTCAAATCTGGTTGGCTTGAATATACAGTTTCACATAGTGGCCAAGCAGTCAGGTGTTAATATTTCTGTTGATTGACAACATTAGTGACTAGTTTCTGTATTATCATGTTGCACAAGGGTGGCCTGGTATTTAAAAAAACATGAAGGAGATAACCAGTGGGCTTTTTCTGTTCCAGGACTGCTGATACCACTTGGGACACTAGCACAGTAATCCTTTGTCCCAAGGTGAATTTGCGAGCCTCTTCAATATTCATGACAACTGCTGTCACAGCCCTTATGCATCCAGGCCATCCTTTGCTTGCTTCATCCAGCTGCTTTGAAAAATGCACCACTTCCCTCTTATAGGGTCCTAATTTCTGAGTAAGGACCACCAAAGCTATTCCCTGTTCTTCATAGGAATATAGCCAAAAGGATTTAGTCATATCCAGAAGTCAGAGCTACAGCTCTCATTAGCCCTAGTTTTTAATTTCTAAAGCCCTCCTCTGATGGATCAATCTATTCCAAAGAGAGAGGGGTTTCTTTTAACAGTTCATATAGGGGTCTTACCAGAACACCATAATCATGCATCCAAAGTTTGCATCATCCAGTCATTCCCAGGAACGTCTGGAGCTCCTTGACGGTCGATGGTCTTGGAGTCTGGTGAATGGCTTCTTTTCTAGCAGTTCCAGGTTCTCTCTGTCCTCCTGTTATTTCATAACCTAGGTAGGAAACTCAGGTTTGAATTAGTTGGGCCTTGTCTGGATACCCGATAACCATTCAGTCCAAAAAAATTTAACAATCCCATTGTCCACTGGATACATTCTTCCTTTGTTTCTGTAGCAATTAACAGATCATCGCATATTGTAACAGAGTTCCCATCTGAGTAGGTGGCTGCCATGATTAGGTAATACTGTCCAAGTTAATTGAGTTTCCCTTCCTGTGTCAGGATTTTCCCATTCAAAAGCAAATAACTTCGGCTTTCTTTGGCCAATGGTAAGCAAATGAAAGCGTCCTTTAAATCCAGGACGGGAAACCGTTTCTGATTATTATTCAGTTTAGTTAATAAGTCATTGAATTAGTTACTACTGGACAAATATCCTCTGCAATTTTGTTGATTGCCCTAAGACCATGAACCAGTCTGCAACGTTTCCCATCATATTTCTTTACTGGCCAGATAGGAGTATTATATTCCAATTTACATTCAATTAATAATCTATATTTTAAAATTTATCAATAATTTTTTTATTCCCTTTGATCTTCTAATTTTAAGGGATACTGTTTTATTCTAATTGGGCAGGCCCCCCTTTTTATTTCCACTTTAACAGGCAAAGCATTTTTTGGCTTACCTGGAACTTCAGATGCCCATACTCCCACATATACCTGATTAAGGATTTCTTCTATTTCAGGGAGGTCCTCCTGTTTGCTTTTTCTGTTGAATTAAAGATAAAACTGCAATTAATTGATTTTTAACTCTTAATTCCATTTTGCCTTCTTTAAATGTTGCTTCTTGCCCTAATGACAATTTTGGAGAATCTAGCATGCATAAAAATGTTATGTATTCCTATTTGTTATACTTTAAGGGTTACGTTGTTTTGCACTTTTTTTCTTTTCGGGGGGGGGGGGGGTGTGTCGGTTTTTTTTTTTTCTTTTCCTTGGTGGCCAGTAGCTCCCACATCTGTAACAAATTCTTTTCACTCTGATTTAATGCCGAATAAGTTGCTCCTATATCCACTAAAATTCCACTTTATTTCCTCTAGTCCATAGTTTTAATTAACCAGTGGATCTGCTACGGTAGATTCCCCAGGTCCCCTGTCAGTCTAGTTCTGATTCAGCCACCGGAGCCACCCCATGCCACTCCCTCCCCTGCAGGGCAGTCTCACTTCCAATGTTCAAAACCCCCCACAGCACACACACACCCATCCGGTCGCATAGGAGAAGAACCCACTTGTTTGCCTGCCCCAGCACCCATCCCGTGCTCAAACACAGGAGCTGTGCGAGCTCCCCTCCTTTCTACTTGGTTCCCCCCCCCCCCCCCCTTTTTTTTCCACTCACAGTTGCTCACCCTGCTCTGCAGAGGTTTCAGATGCCTGCCGCTGCAACAGCACTTCTGGTGTAATGTGAATGCGCTGCTTGTTGCATCTTATTTGCATACCTGCACAAGCTTCACAGTCAGTGACATCAGATCAGGGCTAGTGACATTCCTCCCTGCCAGGAGAGGAATAAGTGACTTCTAAATTCCTATGGACACAGAAGTGTATGTATAAAACCACTTTCCTTAGTAATTTCATCATAGCATTTATTTCAACACCTACCTATGCTCAAAGCCACAAGATTGCTCCAAAGCCATTTTTCCAATGGTTTCCTGTGGGAACTAAAGGCTTCTTCTTTACCAACATCTTAAATCTCAGGCACAAAGATACAGATAAAACCTGTCCAAATGGGCATGGGTCATCAAGCTGGAGCTTATTGTGAAAGGGAGGATATTGACCTGTGCAGCAGCATCTCAGCTGCCACCGAAACCTATCAGTTCTCACAGATGATCACAGAACTTTCCAATAAGGAAATACTCGGATCATAATTGTAACAGCCATTTCAATGGAGGAATCTGTGACTTCGTGTGTACGGAGCGAAGTCTGAGACCTCCAAGCACCTCCCACATTTAGAAATCAAATAGCAGGTTTGATTTTCAGATTTTCTGATTTTTTTTTTTAAATTATTTTCAAGTCACTGAAATCAATGATGTGGTATAAATAATTCATCAAAAACGTGAAAAGTAACATCATGTTAAATGTTGAGAGGCAGGTGTAACTAGCAGTGAGTGCAGGTAATTTCATTCCATTACCACTGGACAATAGGGAGCTCAGAGATTTGCAGAAGTGACAAGCCAGCTAGTGTATCTGCTCCTTAGCTTGTTGTTATACAGTCATCCAGAGCCCAGCCATAGGCACAATGCTGTAGCATCCCAGAGAGAGAAGAGCTAGCACTTCCTAGCTTGCTAGGAATGTCTAGTAGGAAGAGAGCAGTGCTGAAAGGAAGTTGTGTAGTAATAATGCCTCTCCTGCCC